GGACAGTGTTTCTGTTCTCTTGTGAATAATTAATGTTATTGCTATTTTGTGGATTATAGATGTTTGATGTGAGGATGAGTCATTGATGTAACCCCTCATCGATGGTGACATCACCAACGCAAACATATTGATCTATGACAGACGACCTGTGTGATCGATGCATTGGTAAACCTGTTTAACAGGATTATGAGGACGGTGAGCTCCTCAGGGGGTCTGGATGATCCACAGAAGCCCACAGAGCTCCGTGTGGAGGCTGATGGAGCCCTGTGGGCTCTCAGGGGTTGTTGAGGAGGTTCCAGAGGGCCTCCAAGTGTTTGCGAGGCGGTCAGATAGAAACAGGGTTAGAGGAGGTGTCAGGAGTTCTCCTGGAGTTTGGAGTTCCTCCTTGTTCCTCAGATGGACTGCAGGGAGTCCTGGTGATGTGTCGGAGCTCCTGAGGAGGTCCAGGAACAAGGACAGTGGAGGTGTCTCAGCTGTGGGCACAGGGTCCTCATGCTAACAGCTAATGCTAACCCCGATCTGTTTCACTGCAGAAGTACCGTTACCAAGACGATGAGACTCCACCTGTTGATCCCAGCCCCGGTCACATGACCCAAGGACGCAGCGTTGAGCTGAGCCACGCACACCTGGACGGATACACACACCCAGCTGCAATCACAGTACGTGCACACACACACACTCATATACACACAGAGTTTAGTGTGTTTTAACCATCTAGTATCAGTTGTGTCAGTTTTTTCATTGGTCAGGTCTTTTCTGACAAGCTAAAATAAATTGCTCTGCACAAATAATTCCAGATGTACGAATATGACACAAATGATAACTCATGTAAGTGAATATTTAATTCATTGTTTCTGGTTTTGTGTGAGTGTGGATGCAGTACTTCATCTGACCAACAGGGGGCAGCATCAGCCCGCCTGCAGCTGTGAGTGTGCAGGCGTGTGGTGTGTGGCGCTGTGATGTAGCTCGGTACAAGTGTAATAATAGAACACCATCAGCAGCAGAGTGACGGGGTCACAGGGCGTGGAGCTGACTCATCCTGATGTCACACGGTCAGAATCCCTGGAAAGGTCCTTGAGGAGGCTGGAGGGGTCAGGGTGACTGTGAGGTCCAGGTTTTAGGTCCTGGAGGAGCTTGTTAGGGGCAGGTGAGGGTCTCTGTGGGGCTCTGAGGTGTTTCACGTGTCCTCAGAAACACGTTTCAGGTCTCTGGACATGTTCCAGTGATGTCTGGGGTTTGATCTGAAGGTTTTAGGGTCCTGGGATCACTGATGAGAGATTCCAGGTGTTTAGGAGGACCGTTGTGTGTCGGAGGATGTGCTGGATGATGCTTAACAAGGTTTAAGCAGTTTTATCAGGTTTTGAGGGTCTGAACTTAAAGGTCCTTGGAAGCTCAAAAAAAGAGTGCAGGGGCTCACCACAGGGAGGCTCCAACAGGTTGGAGGGCTCTGTGGAGCTCTGTGGAGCTGTGAGGAGGTCTGTGGAGGTCTGTGGAGCTCTGTGGAGCTCTGTGGAGCTCTGTGGAGCTGTGTGGAGCTCTGTGGAGGTGTGAGGAGCTCTGTGGAGCTCTGTGGAGGTCTGTGGAGCTCTGTGGAGCTCTGTGGGGGTCTGTGGAGGTGTGAGGAGGTCTGTGGAGCTCTGTGGAGCTCTGTGGGGGTCTGTGGAGGTGTGAGGAGGTCTGTGGAGCTCTGTGGAGCTGTGTGGAGCTCTGTGGAGCTGTGTGGAGCTCTGTGGAGATGTGAGGAGCTCTGTGGAGCTCTGTGGAGGTGTGAGGAGGTCTGTGGAGCTCTGTGGAGATGTGAGGAGCTCTGTGGAGGTGTGAGGAGCTCTGTGGAGCTCTGTGGAGATGTGAGGAGCTCTGTGGAGCTCTGTGGAGATGTGAGGAGGTCTGTGGAGCTCTGTGGAGGCGTGAGGAGCTCTGTGGAGCTCTGTGGAGATGTGAGGAGCTGTGTGGAGCTCTGTGGAGGTGTGAGGAGGTCTGTGGGAGGTCCTGTCACATCCTCAGGTCTCTGATCAGAGCTTCGCTGTTGAAACACTTCCAAAGAAGGTCAGATCTGTGGGGTCGCTGTGATGTCACAGGCAGCAGGTGAGGTCAGCCCCATCATTAATATTCACAGAGAGAGTGAGGTGGTGGGGGTCAGGCCCACAGCCACAGGGACCTC